AGGCAGGGAACCTTTCTAAATTAGAGTCTAAAGGGACATTATTAATAAATGCAACACACAAACCTCGATCAGACCCTCTAAGGGGAAAATAAATACAGCTATAAAGATCCTTATTGCGACAACTGGTGCAGTTTGAATATGAGCTGTGAATAATGAAAGGTAGGGAAAAAATATGATTGTGGCTCAATTGCATTTTTATTGACCAGCTCTTTCCTAAAGTACTTTGGTATATGGGAATCTATGTTTTAAGACCTAAAAATGTGAAAATTACATGTGATGTGGTTGCTTCATCAAATTGGATCAGTTTTTGTAGAAAGAATGTGCAATTGGTTGGAGTTGTATTAATGGGAACAAGAACTTAGAAAAGAACGAAGTGGCTGATAATAGTTAAGGCACAGAATTGGTGGAATGGTTGGTTGGGACAGTACTAACTACACGTAGGGAGTCCTGGGTAAATATTAACCAATGACAATAACTAGCAGAATGTCCCCAAGTGGGGGCCCTTGCTTCATTGATTGGGAAATTCTGCCTAATGAGAATGGACTACTAGTAAGAATCACATAGCGATTTCATTCTCCTTTCTGTAGGACATGGATGCCCAAGCAGCTGGTGGGAGCAGCTCTGGCTGTCTCTGAGATAATGGTGTATTAGTCTCAAATAAGGGGAAATTAAACAACTATGCGGAAGCCTGGCTGGCAGTCATTAGAGTCATTCAGTGTTTGGGCTGCCTCTGTGTTTCAGGGGGTGATAGGAGCCATTGACAGTTTACTTTTAGCTTCAGAAGCCAGAGATATTTTCATTACTAGTGTCCTCAGGCATACACTTTTTAATTTAAAAAAAAAGAAAGTTCAGAATGGAAATAGCCCATCACCACAGGAACATCTTCATAGCAGAAACACATTATAGTTTACCTGTCAATCTTATCATTGTGCCAGGCTTGTTTTGAGTATCTGGAATGAGGAAGAGAAAGTAGAAAAGAGAGGTTATGGCAAGGCTGACAGAGGAGGCTCCAGAATCACTAACACCTTGGAAAAGCTGAGGGCTTCATTCCAAAGTGGCATCGAAATCTCTGGTTTCTTACCTCTCTGGCTAATAAGAAAGCTAATAAGAAAGATTTTCCCTACTTCTTCCAAAACTATAATGCCCTATTTTTTGAATCTTTTAGACAGGTGTTATGGTAGGTTCAAGATGGTTAAAAATTCTTTGTCACTATCCCTATCAGGAGGTGGATATTATTTTTCCTCCCTTCGAATCTGGGCTAGCTCCGTCTGTTGAACCAATAGGTTGTCGCAGAACTGCACTGAGCAGTTCCAGGCCTAGCCTTTCAGAAGACTGCACCTTTTGCTTCTTCTTTCTTGGAGTACTTGCGCTTGGGACACTCCCTCTTGGAACCCAGCTCCCATGCTGGGAGGGGCCCAAGCCACACACACACAGAGCCCCGCAGCCAGTATCAATTGGCAGCCCCATGGGGGAGCCGTCTTGGACGTCCCAGCCCAGTCACACCCTGATGACATCACGTGCAGCAGAAGTAGCCCAGTGAAGGCCCGTCCACACAAGAGAACCAGAGTCACAAGAGAGAATAAAATGTTTTAAGCTCCTATGATGGTGTGGTTTGCTCTGGAGCAATAGATTACTGAAATTTATAAACAAAAAGTTCACAAGAAGGATGTGTCTTGCTAACCAATGAGGAATGACAAAGCATGGGACATAACACTTGCCGAGTGGGAACAGGTGACAATATCCTTATCCTCTAGTGGGTTTTGACTTCAAAAGTGGCCTCAGTTTTCAGGCCTCTTTTTGAAGCTCAACACAGAAAATTTTAAAAAGGAAAATTTCATCTTAATATAGCCTCACCCCGACATGTGTGTTTCACACAGACCTTATTTTTTAAACAGAGTTTATTGTATTTAATACATTATAAAATTTGAAAAATTGTAGGAAAGCAGCAGACTCAAACTGGAGCAACTCTAACAAGTAATAATTCTGGCCCCTTTGCAAAACTGATCAGTTTAAAAACAAAGTAACGTTCACATCTGTGAGGCGGACAAAAAAGTGTGACTTCTGTACAAACTACATTTAAAATTTCATGTCTAATGTCTTTTGAATGCAATGTGCTCATAAGAGTTTTTCTGAAGTCCTGCCCGGTCCCACCTAAAGAGAGACATGAAACCTCCATACGCAAAGAAACTCTATTCAAGGTGTTTTTTTTTTTTTTAAAAAAAAAAGGAAAAAGAAAGACAAAGGAAAAAGAAACAATGGATGGCTGTTGGCAATGGAAACTGTAAGGAGATGCGTCCTCACTGCTCATGGCTTGTTTATCGGTCAGAGGCCTCTGGAGGCCCAGGACACTTCACGGCCATCACAGCACCAACCGTAGCTACCACCTTTTTTTTTCTTTGTTGTTTTCTTTTCTTTCTTTCTTTCTTTTTTTTTTTTTTTTTGCATTTCCTACCTTTTGACATATATATATATATATATTTATATATTTTTTACACCTTGAGGATATCACTATTCCAATTGTTCCCATATGAATACAGGTGTGGTCTCTATTGGATATAAATGTGTCTTTTATTCAATTTTAGGTCCAGGACTTGGTTTGCTGTCCCAACTGCACATAAATGTCCCTTTTTTGTTTGTGTTATTTGTTGTGTATGTTTTTTCCTTTTTGCATATGAAATATGTCCATTTAGTCTAGAGGTTCTTGCTTTATCCGGATGACAGAGGGTCCACGGGGTGTCCGCCTCAGTTCCCGCCGCAGGACATATTCACTGAACTGAGACGAGTCCACTCCTCCCCCACAGGAGCCCACGATTTCAAATCCTCTTTGCTGCAACCTCTCGAGGACCTGTGAGGGGCCAAGACAAGCATCTGGTTAGGTGCGAGATATGCCCTTTGGCCACATAATCAACCCAAAGAACTGTCCCAGAGTCTGAGATCATGTGCAGCTCTGGTCAAGCTTATCCAACCCTTAAGTCTCCTTTCTACTTTTAAATGAAGACTCTGAATTAAAGGGTAGAAAGAGAGGGGGCAAACATTTCTAATACCTAAAACATGCCTTTACATGTTAGCTTTCCATATGCCAAGTTCATTTAATCGTTACAACCTCCTGGCATAATGGGTTAAGGTGTTAGCTCATTTTATAGATGAGAAAACTGAGGCTCACAGTCAGTGATGGAATTGGGTTTCCAACTCAGGTCTATCTGGCCTCAAATTCCATGTTTTTTGCAATGTGTAATACTACCTTCTCTGGGGAAAAAAAAAAAAAGTTCACATTTCAAAGCTCATTTACCACTAAAATACATTCTATGAAATGAAGGATATGGAAAGACAGTGACATTATCTAAATTTACTCAGCCAGTGATTCACTCTCAACTCATTCACTCTTAACTCTGCCATTGTTCAAGTTTCCCGATACCGAGTTAATATACTACAGCTTGGAAAACTGACGTCATTTCAACAGCAGGACAAATGGAATACTGAAGACAACTGAGGTTTATCTCCATATTTTCAAGTTTGTGGCATCTGAAATAGACTTATTGCTGTGTGTACATTCAGGGAGGCAAGAATAAATGCAATGGTGATATATTAGAACACATATCCAAAATAAAGAAATTCTAAATGTCTAATATAAGCATAAGGCACCTAATCAATTCTTTAATTCTGAAATCAAATGTCAGAAAGATCCCTGACATTTGATTTGTCATTACATGTCTAACACAGTTAGATGCTAGAAATAGTTCCTATAACTCTTAGGCAAAAATAAAGGACACGGAACTGGAACATTCTACTTCTTTAGGAATCTAACAAATATTAGACTTGTAAATGTTCTCTGCCAGGATTCTGGATATAATTAAATTACTTCTGCATCACCCTATAGGCAAGATGACTCAATCATAACTTTAGAAAGATGTCTGGCTCAATTTTTTTGGGGGGGGGATGAAGTGAAATATTACTAAATAACTTCCAAAATGCATTTAATGTAAAGTGAACCCTTACTGTTTTTTAAAAATTCTTCTTTTTTGGTCACCTACTTTTATATGAAATATAACCTGCTATCTTGCAAAACAGCTAATTAGATGAGATTGGAAAGCAAGAGTACGCTTTCTGACACTTAAAACTTCAAATGCTGGCAAATTAAAAAAAGTCCTCATGAGAACAAAATGAACCTTCTGCTCTGCAATGCTCTATTTGTTGAGATATATTCATGATGCATACACATGCACACCAGTCAGCAAAAGGAAAGGATGAAGAAGACTCTCCCTAAGTTCAAAATCAAGATGTGCTTTGGTGGCAGATGAATAGAAAGGTGAACAGCTCCCTCTAAGGAGATTTCCAGAGTAGAGGCAGGAATGTAGCCTGTCTGCAAGAAAAAGCCCAGTTTGCTCTGCCAAACCACCTCACTGGAAAGGATTCGTTGCTGTGATGAGGACCGGAATTACAAAAGTAGAGGAAGCTTTGAACGTTGAAGAACTGAACCCTGATATCTTTTGTCTTTCAGTGTTGTTATAGTTGTTAAATTGCTAACATAAGGAAATCCCTAAACATCCTCCCCAGGGGGTTCAATACGCAAAATACGATAATTATTCAATATGATCCAGTGTTACCTTGGATGTGGTGAAAGCTTCTTCCAAAGGAATGCAAACAGCTTACCCTTCTTGGCCATTACTTTTTAAACATCAACTTGTTAACAGCAAAGTTCCTTAATGTTAATGGTCATTTGACAACACTAAAATCACTCCATGGGGTCTTGGGTTGAGTGCCTTATCTCAAAACCTCTGAAAGCCTAGAGGAAGGTGTCTATATCTTGGTCTGTGGAGCAGGAAGCTACTAGAGTGGGTCATGGCCGTGTCATACGATGACATTAATCCAGGTGAAAATTTCCACATCTGATCAGACTGGAATGATGGGAAAACTTGTCCGGCGCATGAATGAATTTATGGCCTGAGGGGTGGGGTCAAGGCTTGACTTGTGAGAGCCGAAGCCCTGGAGAAGCAGAGGAAATGCTTTTTTGACTCTGAATGGCTAGCTCGGCCCTTCCCTGGGGAGGGAGGGGTGGGAACGAGGTGGATGCGGGAGTAGGAGGGGACAAGGCGTATATGGGAGGGGAGGGCTGTCTGCGAGGCCCACTGAGGAATACTGCAAGGGGCAGTGTGGGGTACACCTCTGGAACTGGACAACCCCGCTGCCTGAGAGTGTATGCCTTCCTAGCATGCCCAGGGCTCAGTTTCTGCCAACAGTTTCTGTTCTGTTGGCGGGGTGGGGAGGTGAAGTGAAATATTACTAAATAACTTCCAAAATGAATTCAATGTAAAGTGAACTCTTACTGTTTTTTAAAAATTCTTCTTTTTTGGTCACCTACTTTTATATGAAATATAACCTGCTATCTTGCAAAACAGCTAATTAGATGAGATTGGAAAGCAAGAGTACGCTTTCTGACACTTAAAACTTCAAATGCTGGCATCTCTTCATCAATTTAAAAAATTATAAAGAGTTGTAGAACTCTTCAAGAGGCAGAATGGGAGTGTGACTGCTTCTAGTCTTTGAGCTTTGGGAGAGGTTTTGTTGTGTCAATACTGAACAAAGTCATGGGCCCATTCCAATTAAAAGCTCATCACTCCATTGACATCAAATTGTTTTGAGTCAGACAGACCTGGAATCAAGAGCTAGATGTGCCAAGGTAGGAGGATTAATAGTGCTCCCCTGTTCGTGCTGTTATAAGAAGATAGTACATGTGCCACCCTTGGCCCAGGGATGACACATGTTAGTTAAGACGATGACCACGCCCACCAGTGTCTGAGGCACATGACATCACACATAGTGTAATCCAAACTTCTGAATTCCACTCTTAAGTCTCCTTCTCCCATACATTTCTCCATCTCAGAAAATGGCAATTCCGTTCATCCAGTTCCTCCATCAAAAATCTTAGTCATCCTTGGCTTCCATCTTACAACCCACAGCCATCATCAGAAAACTTTGTTAGCTCTACATTCAAGATATTCAGAATTGGACACTTCTTAACTCTTGCTTGGACCATCGCCTTCTAACCAGTCCCCTGACTTCCACTGTCTTCAACCAGCTGCTGGAGTATTCATTTTCAAATGTGAGTTACATCACGTCATTCTTTTGCTCAAAATTCTCAAATGGCTTTCCATTTTACTCATGCCAGCAAATGAACCAAAAACTCAAAGGAAATTAAACCAAAAATCCCAGAGTGCTCGCCATCCTCTGTGAGTCACTCCACGATCTGTTCATGGCCATCTACTGGCCTCGTGTCTTAGCACTCACTGTCCCAGGTCTACTTTCTTCAAGCCACACTGGCTTTCCTGATATTCCTCAATATACCAAACATACTCCTACCTCACAGTCTTCGGAACGTGCTGGTCCCCCCGCCAGAATACTCTTTTTTTTTTTTTTCCCGGATATCCTTTTCTCACTACCCAACCAACATTTATGTTGGTTACTGTTTACCCCTAAGTCTATTCTCATAATGTAAGTTCCATGAAAATAGAGCTACCATCTCTTTTTTTCTTTTCTCTGTCTCTAGTGCTCATACCAGCAACCTGGCACATAATAGATGTTCAATAAATAGCTGTGGAATGATTGAATGAATGCTATAGAGGGGTAAATAGGTTTGTACCCAACAAAAGTGTTATCACAAGAGAGTTTTCAAGCTCTTTAGAGGGAAGATACCATGTGAAGGCAAGGTTAAGAAACAGCACTAAGAGTGACATTCGATGCCACACAGCATATGACAATGCTATACCTGGACTGAGTTGAGGTGACAGTAGCCATTCAGTGGAAACCTGATGACGTGCGTTGAATCGTGATTCCAGCCCGCGTTGACAGAGTTACACATCACATCGCCAATTTCCGGAAACACTTCTTCTATCAAGGATTTGTCACCGCTGAGTGTGATCCTTTCTCCGAGGTCTGGGGCAACGCGTACTACTAGGCACTCACAGGGCCTTGAAAAGCGACCAGTTTCTCTGTCCTGCTTCCATCTTTCCATCTCCAACAACATGGGTTGAAGCTGAAAATATTTTGCCTCTTCATATAACAAAGTATAGTCCTGAAAAAAAAAACCAATACATATTTCACACTGCAAAATACAAACATAAAGTACTGAAAGTGTCCATATATAAGAGGTGACTTTTTCACCTCTGTTATTTCAATAATCAAATCCAGGTGTAAAATTTTCACTTGTAACACATTTGTACAGACTGAATTTGCATTCATTCATTCATTCATTCAGTGATTACAAAGGGAGCTAACAGTATGAAGGGCCAGCTGGACCCTCTTCTTAGTGCTTTACATGAATTAAGTCCTATAATCCCCATAATTGCCCACGAACTTGGGAAACATTATTATTCCCATTTTGCAGATTACAAAACTGGGATGCAAAAGGATTTACCCAAGACTTTTCTCCTTTCGCAGAAAAATGCCTTTGAGTATTTAAAATTTGATTGTGTTTGTGGGAATCCGCTTTATATCTTTTCAGATAGAACACCGACATCATGTGAAGGCGGCACAGCTGTGCCCATTTACCAGCAGCCTCTACTCCTGGTCACATTCAGTGGAAGCTCCTGAACTTCTCTGGCAGGAGAGTTGGGGGGCAGAGTGATGGCGGAAGTGGGGCTGCAGCGGGGGTGGCTGGGAGCCTGGGGGGGTTTGCAGCCTTCACCTCGACTTGAGTGTTGATCTATGATGGTTTGGGGGAGGCCGATGGAGATATGTAAGCTGGCACACTGCCCTCAGCCCACCTATTAGTGCTGCCATTATAAAGTGAGAGAGGCAAAAAATCCTCAGGCCTTGACTCCTGCAGGACAGAGGTGCAGGAAAGGAAACTAGTCCCTTTCTGAAAGTGCCATCACCCAGTCTCTAGTCATGTTTTCTTTTCCTCTTGCCTTAAAAAAATCTATTGAATTAAAACAGAAATCTAGCAAACAACACATTAACACACACACACACACACACACACACACACACACACACGCCACAGAAGGGGAGGACAAAGGAGGATGAGGGGGTGGAAGCAACTTAGGAACAATGTTATCAAGCAGGATAATATTATGCCTAAATGTAGCTATGGCCACAATCATCTCCGGGTGTGAAGTAAGTGGATACTTGTCCAGGCACGTCGACTGAGAACATTTTAATCAACTGACATAGGCATTTCTGCCTTCCTTCCCCAGGCTGGAGCTGGCAGGCGGTGGTGCCTGGTGCTGTAAGCCCAGGGCCTGGGTGCTGTCAGAGGCCTCTGCCTCCCGGACAGAGAGGAAGCATGGGGAGAGGATGACCACAGGAGAACTGTTTATATTTGGCACTCTGCTCTTTCTCTTGCAAATCAAGCAAAGCAGCAGCACTAGCAGCAGCAGCATTAATCAAAGGCTTACAGAGAAAACAGTGTGGAGAGGTGAGAGAACTTCAGATCATCCACTTTCTCTACTGAGAAACTTGGGCCGGGTAGAAGGCGCTATCAGCGATGCTCATCGGCAGATGGGCTGCTTCTCCGTTCTGTCCTCTCCTAGCAACTCCATTACTACAGGAGTCTTGGTTCCCCACAGAAAAGCAGCCCATTGCTCTGATCACCTTCATTGCGTATATTGCTCCCTGCTTAGCCTCCTGACCTACAGGAGACACTGTTTGTTTGAGGACTTGAGAACTAAGCTGAGGTATGGCCACTCTTAAGACAGAGCAGAACTGAGGCCCCCTAGTTCTACCTGAGGGTAAAAGTGGGGAGACTGCAGGTTCTCCCTGGTCAACCTCTGCCCCCCTCCCCAATATAGTTTGCCAGCTTTGAAGTACACCAATTGTGAGATGCCGACCTCAATACTTACTTATAAAGATGACAGCTCTTAAGGAGATTTAAAAACCGCCTTCCTTGAGAGTTACAGAAGTAAGAACTGCTACTGCTTTTGATTTTCCTATGAGATTTAATTACAAATTTTAGCACAAGGAAGATTTGGACTCCAGTGAAAATATGCTTTGTCTATTCTAGAGCCAAGTCCTCAAATCTTAAAAGATGCTTAGAGCAGTCTTCTTGACCAGTCTTGACCCTACAGAGGAATCCTTTGTAACATCACTGAATAGTAACCATTCAGCCTCTAATTGATTGCTTCCAGTGATGGGAAGCTACTACCTAACAAGGCACAGCATTTGTTTTGCAGCTCTGATTGTTGTAAATATCTTCCTTAAAATGATCTGAATTTCTCTGTAACTGCAATTTATTTGTTCTAATACTTTCCTCTGGGGTTTCAGTGATCTTAATCTTTCTTTGACATGTTAACCCTTCAAACATTTGAAGACAACTTGTTATTATTCAGGCTGAAAATACCCAATCTTTTCAGCTCCTTTTCATTTGTTATGACTTTGAAGTTCTTCGACATCTGATACGTACTTGACTTTGTCAACATGCTGCCTGAACCCAAACTAGAACTGACCTTGACATTTTAGATGTGATCTAATGAGTGCATTGTACACTTTGCTTGGCTGGATACTCTAATCACTATTAATGCAGTCTGTATTAGTTTCCTATGGCTGCTGTAACAATTGCCACAAATGTATTGGTTGAAAACAGCACAAATTTATTCTCTTACATTTCTGAAAGCCAGAAGTCTAAAATAAGTCATTAAGGCTGTGTTTCCTTTGGAAGATCTAGGGGAGATTCCATTTCCTTGCCTTTTCCATCCTCCAGAGGCTGCCTGCATTCTTTGGTTTGTGGTCCTGCATCACTCCTACCTCTGCTTCTGTTGTCACATCTCCTCTTACTCTGACCCTCTGCCTCCTTCTTTCACTCATTAAAACCCTCGTGAATACAATGGGCCTACCTGGACTATCCAGGTTAATCTCCCTATCTCAAGATGCTTAGTTTAACCATATGTGCAAAGTTCTTTTTGCCATGTAAAGTAACATATTCATAGCTTCCAGGAATTAGGAAGTGGACATCTTTCAGGGACCATTATTCCGCCTACCACACATTATAAGGCCATATTAGCTTTTTTGGCAATCCCTTTACTCTGTCCACATTTTGCTTACAGTGAAATCTCTACACCTTTTTCACAAGAGCTGCTCTGGAGCTAGGTCTTCCTCATTCAGCATTTGTGAAAATTTTTAAGTCCTTCATTATTTATCCCTCTTTATGTTGCATACTCTAGGCTCTGAATTCCTTGACAATGTTTTTTCGAGGTGGAAAGATCAAGATCTCATTGAGAAAATGTGGGTTCCTTCACTCAACACTCTAGGTTTCTCTCTCATTTTTGTGCCATTTCGAACTAAGTGTTCTGTTTCTATACGTGAATCATTTCTTAAAATACTGAGAGGACAGGGCTATATGCAGGCCTTTGTTCAGGTTGATGCTCAGGTAACAAATGAAAACACTCTGGATTTTGGCTGTTCAAGCAGTTATGAAACCTCTAATTCTAAGATCATCCAGCCCATAATTATGGCCTTTGCTAGATGACTTGTTGAAATACCATGTGTTTGGGTGGGACTCCAAGGGGAAGGCTGGAGGTGTGGGAAGGCCCAAGTCTCCATATTGCCCACATATTCTCCATGACTATTTAGGGCTCTAGTCTCCTTATCTGTAAAGTACATTAAAGTAGTTTCCAGCCCTGATATTCTATGAGCCTATGTCCATGATCTACCAGTTTGTCCAGCATAACCCAAAGGCAATGAGGTTAGTGAGACTTAGGGCTACAAGCCCCCTGATGCTGACTCTGAATCTTCACCACCTTCTTTTTTTTCTCTGAGTTCACAAACCACATGTGTAATAATCTGCTCTAAAGTCCAGCTGTGGACTGACAGAGTGCCTCCCTATATAACGTGGTTCACACTCATCGTTATCTGCTCTTGAAAAATTAGAGAAACGTGGGCTCTTATAAGACTTTTGGCCCTGCTCAGTGATTTCTCAGGGATCCTGCTAGTGCTTATTAAAGTGAAGGTTTAAAATTAGGGCTCCCCCAAAGGTCATCCTGCACCTGAGATATCATCTTGGGCCCAGCCCAGAACTACTTCAAGCCACCAGGTGTTCGTCCTTTTACTCTCTTGACTATCTGGGCTCCAGTTTTGCATTTACTACATTGTTCTACCTGGTCTGTGCTGGGAGAGCGAGCGCTAGAGAACAGCTGAGCACATGGGCTTCGCTTGGCCATCAGCTTCCTGCACTGACTTGCCTCCAAGCATCTGCCAGCTCTGGAACTAAAAAGATCCCTCTTGTTGTTGTTACCATTTTCTGCATGGTTAAGTGCACGCTGGCCATTTGTTTTCTTGGCAGGCTCCTTAGTATTTGTCTTTCTCTAGTTCCAAACGCATGCTTCAAGCTCCGGCTCCTCGGAGAAGTCCCTGCAGAGCAAGGCTGCTTTCTTTGGAAACCTCATCCCACTTTCCTTCCTAAGTCAGGATCATTTTGCTTTATTATCTTAACCCCATAATTTTTAGAGTTTATTATGTTTCCTTTCAGGTTTTCTAGGTTTGTGCAAATGGTAGGATTTCATTTTTTGTAATGGCTGAGTAATATTCCATTGTATATATGAACCATAATTTCTTTATCTAATTGTCTGTTGATGGGCATTTGAGTTGCTTTCATATCCTGGCTATTGTAAATTGTGCTTCCATGAACATAAGGGTGCATAGATCTTTACGAATTACTGTTTTGGTTTTCTTTAGATAAATATCTAGAAGTGCAATTGCTGGGTCAAAAGGTATATCCATTTTAAATTTTTTGAGGAACCTCCATACTGTTTTCCATAGTGGCTGTACCAATTTGCAATCCCACCAACAACGTATGAGGGTTCTCTTTTTTCTGCATCCTCTCCAACACTTGCTGTTTTTTGATTTGTTGATGACAGCCATTCTGACAGGTGTGAGGTGATATCTCATTGTGGTTTTAATTTGCATTTCCCTGATGACTGGCGACCTTGAGCATCTTTTCATATGTCTGTTAGCCATCTGTATTTCTTCTTTGGAAAAGTATCTGTTCAGGTCTTCTGCCTATTTTTTAATTGGATTTTTGCGTTTTTGTTGTTGTTGTTGTTGTTATTGAGTTGTATAAGTTCTTTTCAAAAGCTTATT